TTTTTTTTTTTTTTTTTTTTTTTGCAAACTTAAACCTAAAAAGACTATAACTTCCAACAAAATGAGTTACATATTGAGATGTAATTTTTTACTTCGAAAAATTTTTATACAAAAGATGACTTGTATGTTTTGTAACCTCGATCTCCATAAATCATCTATGTGATTGAGTTTAAAAAGGTCAACGATCCATTCATCCTATTTACCTATATAAAGTAATCAATCTTACGTTTGGGGATAATTAAAACCGTGACTTGGGTTTTTCTTTGACCAAGAAATTCATTATAATGTAAACACTTACATAGTTAAAAATAAATATAACTATCAGATGAAAACATAGCTCATTACCTAAAACAAGAATATTTTTTAATCAAATTTAAACAAATTTACCCCAACTGGGAGTAATTTGAAACTGTTTAAGCATTTCTTCTCAGACATGGTCTTAATACTCTTAATTGTATACTACATTTAGAGGTTGGTTTGTTTGACAACTTACACTTCTTGGCACTTGAAAACTTGATGTCTATGAACTATTCTTCCAAATTTTGTCATTGATAATACTTTTCTAGAATTAGAAATTTTTGTCAACCTTCTTAATTATGTGGAATAATAAATTGAATGGAATGATGAGAGTAATATTTTTTTTGCAACAAGAGTGTCGTATTTAATAATATTTATATCAACATTCCGATATGAGTGAATCTTTGAAGAGACAAATACTTATAACTAGGCACATTATGATGTGATTTTGCTTGTATCTTTGGAAATGTTGAATTTTCCTAACTTTAAGTTTTAGGACCTTTAATTGTATTTTAGTCCCTATTTTTAAAATATCCTTCTCAATCTATTTTATTTTCCTTTCATCTTTTTTATTTCTTAATCAGAAGGGATACAACCTTTTACAAGTATTTCTATTTTGTCCAAAATATCAAAGACCTATTTTAAAAATTCTAACAAAACCTCTTTGTTATCTCAACACTTAGAAAACTTTTCTAAGTGGTTCCAACAATAACATATATATAAAAAAAGCTAAAACACTTCAAAGACCAAAGAAAACAAACTCCTCTATATTTTTCTACATAAATGTGATAAATCACACTTATCTATTTAGATTCATTTATTCATCCAAGCATGATACACATATTGAGTCTCACTGATTTCGACCCAAGTGAAGCTCCAAATCAATTTCTTCATTAGCACTAGGAGTAACATCAATGGAAGTGTTTGCAATTGCATCACTTGTATGTGTTAGAAACTCATACATGTTGGTGTTTGTGTTAATATTGTTGCTAGTGCTAGCTTCTCCATTTGGTGGAGTCATAAGGAAAGCATTCATTGGGACAAGGGAAAAAAGTTGTTGGGATTGGTTGTTAACAAGCATAGGCATGGAGTTTGGGGCAAATGGATCAACAACCAGGTTCCAATCTATGGACACAGGATTAGGTGAGGAAGTGATGGAGATCCTTCCCCTAAAGCCATGTGGGGATGATGGAGGTGGAATGTCTCGCAGAAAGTTAGCAGCATAGCTCTGAACTTGTTGAGGGGTTTTATTGGGCAAAAATTCATTGGCAATTCTGGTCCAACGTCGATTTCCATACCTGATTAGCCCCATCACGAATAACCTATGATCAAAATGAAAAATATTAATTAGTGTCCTATAAAAATGAAAGCAAGTAAAAAATAGTAACACAAATATATTCTTAATTACCTATGAAGCTATAATTTATTTCCCCATTACATTTTACCCAAAAGTATAAAAGAATAATGGAAATAGAAAGAAAAATAAAAGAGTATAAGAAAAATTAAATATATGTTAATATAAAATTAATTAGATTAAGTTTGAAGGAAACAAACTCATGCTCTCTTTGGGTCCAAAGCTCATTGAGTATAGCTCTATCAGGAGCCAAATACATATTTGGTTCATGTAATCTAACAATTTCATCTTGCATGTCAGGTTGGAACCTAGTAACAATTTGAGAAGGCTCATCGCTATGTCCAAAATTTGGCCATGGAGTAGCTATTTGTTGTTGGTTAGCTTGGCTCAAGTTGGGATTTATGCTAGAAATTAAGGGTAAAGGAGCATTCTCAAACTGAACTTGTCTAATAGAATTAAGGAATATGGATGCATTAGATGATCTGGGTGGTGATGAAGAAGAATTCATCATATCAATGATATCTGACATGATTGTTGAGAAATGGTGAGAGGGTCAAAGAAATTAACTAGGGGTGGAAATGGACACAAAAGGTAAAGGCTATTGGAATTGTGCTTGGAAAATGTATTGGAATAGGCAACTTGGTATAGCTTGATTTATAGCACTCAATTGTCATACTTCATTTGCCAAAATATCCCTAAAAGTCTCATTGTAAATATTATTTCTTTAAAAAAGATGTTTTATTCATTTATTACATTTCACATTTTTTTCTTTTTTTCTTTCTTTCTTAATTGCAAAATTTATTACACCACTTATTTTACAAATAATAATTATATTGTTGAAATACGTTTGCCTCCATGGGAGTACAATATATACAATATTATATAGGCTTAAATATGTTTTTTTTAATTTAGTATCTCAAAAAAATTAAGAAACTTGATTTTTTTTTTTATTTTTTTTTATCTTTAATCCAAGTCCTTGCCCTATTTTTATGCAATTCACTTAAAAAGAGGGTTTGATAGTTAAATATTAAAAAAGTTTAAATATGATTTTCATTCCTATAAAATCAACAAGTTTTGATTTTGATCTCTATAAAAAAAAATTCTTTATTTTTTATCCTTCTAAAATTTGTAAAGATTCTTTTGTTCACTATATAATGAGCATATTTTAATTTTAGTCCCTCTAAAATATTTTTTTTGATTTGCATCCTTCTTAAATTTAAATTCCCTAATTTTGGTCCATAATGATCATTTTAAGGTATATATCATAATTATTTTAGGGATTTATACAAAAAATTATAAATGTCACATACAAATAAAGTATCACAGACAATTGTAGGTACTAGTTGGGACGGTTACATAACCTTCTAATGAATACATAAGTGGTTAAAAATCATTACATAATAGTAGGGATTAAAATAATAGTTTCAAATTTTAGAGAGGCGGATAAAAAAGAAAAAGTTTTAAAGAGACCATAATCAAAACAAACTCGTTTTGAAGAGACTAAAAATATATTTAAACCTATTATATATATGAAAATTGACTTTGTATGTGCAGTTAAAATAATTTAATTTTATCAACCAAGATTAAAACTAGTAAAAGTTTGAAACGTCCCATAATTCATTTATGTATTCATTCAATTCGATGATGTTATTTACTTATCAGTTACTCGAGTCTTAGTAATGGTTTTCTCAATGATGCTACTTTTATTTAATGGTTACCGAAATCTTCGCCGTGGTTCCTTAATTTTTATGATTTCACACATAAATAAGAGTGAAATATTAAATATTTAAATTGACTTTACATGTAAACATAATATTTTATTGTCAGCTTTAAAGAGTGAAACTAGTTGAACATTGAAATGTTTTATGAGATATTAATATTAACCAATGTTGTTCTTGTTAGTGTGTGATCTCTGGGAAAAAGGTTTTTTGCTCATGGGATTTTTAATGATAATTATATTTTTGAAAATTTAACCCATGAAACATAAAAAATTACTGTTGTTGAGTTGAAGTTGATTATATTTATATAGTTAGCTTATTGCTTTCTATCTTATATGTTGAATTGTTTACACAAGCTTACCCTTGCTTTTTTATATGTTGGATTGCTATGATCATACAAATACTTTGTGTGGGAGCAGGTCAGGTTTAGGCTGGAGGGCGAGCATGATGGTTAGCCAGGCAATATATGGCTTTTCATAAAGGCTATTCCAATATACCTTAAATTAGATGCTTGACTGACAACTTAGAATTTTATTGTTTTCTAGTACTGATATTTGTATATATATGTACAAGGATTGTTGTAACACTACGAGGAACTTTATGTTTTCTAATTAATACGAGTAAGGATTATTTTAGGTTTTCTACACCCTATACATATATTTGTTGCATGGATATTTAGGTACTGCTTACATGAAAATCCTAAAATAGAAGATGTTTATATTTTTTGCAGCCTTGTACTTATGTCGTAGTAAGTGTAGTGATATGTCGGATCACTACAACTTCTATTTGATTAATTGTTTAATTAAACATTATGTGTGGGTTTCTTTAATTCTAAATTAACTTTTGAACAACTGAGCATTTACAATTAGAAAAAAATGGTGAATTTCTATTAATAATGTGATTAACTAATTGAGGAGAAATAGATAATTATTTAGATTTTAGGCATATTAATATTAGGGGATTTGAGGTCAATTGAAATCACAACCCTAAGATTTTTAATCTCTAAATTTCAATCACTTAATTTTTTTAATTAATTCTAATTTATGAAATTTTGATCACATTGTCACAAACAATTATGATTCTCTTGAACAATTAAAAATAGATAGTAAGTTGGAAATTACTTAATTTAATCCCCTAGGCGCGATATCTTGATTCTGTCCATCATTACTATCATAATAAGGTATGAATGCCTTTAAAATGCATTTTATATGCAACAAGTTTTAAGTGTCATTCTCGAGGAGCTAAACTGATGGAAGACTTGCTTTGGAACCGGATTGATGTTGATTCCTCTTCAAGCTTCTCCCTAGATCTTTAGCTCCTTGATTCTTCTCAAGCTTCTCTAAGACTTCCAATGGAGGAGAAGCCTTGGATTTCACCACGGTTTGGTGAAGAACACCCTTCAAGAGGCACCACTCCTCAGGAAAGAGATAAGCCTCTTCAATACTCACCACACTCTTCTATGAAAAGGAAAAGAGGATTGGATGAATATCAAAGAGGTTAATACTTTTAGAAGAGAGAAATTGGCTGAACAATTTTAGAATTCACTCTATGGGTTGTTGGCCTTTTCTTTGGGTTGTTCTACGAAGCAGAACCGGCAGAACGGCCCGTTCTCCAAGCAGAACGACCCGTTCTCCATCCAAAACGGCATGTTCTCCATGCAGAACGGGCCATTCTACTTGGAGAACGGGCCGTTTTGCAAGCTTGCACTCGGTATGTTTTTTATTTATTTATTTTTTTACTACATTTTTACGTCGGACCTTAGTAATGTCTGACATAAATTTACGTCGATTTTATAGAGGCGACGTAGATTTACGTCTCTCGCATTAATGTCGGTATTTTTTCCGACGTAAAAAGCTCAAAATAACCGACGTGGAATACCTCTTTTGTACTAGTGAATTTGGGACTTGTGTTTATCCTAATTCTTTTAGAAGTATTTTTTTTTTCAATTGACATCATTTTATCACTTCAAAAAATAGATTTATTATTTTACCCAATAAAATTAATCAACAATAATTCATTCAAAATATACTACATTACCAATTGATCAACACGAGATAAACATTTATAACTCCGTAAAATATGAATTTTGTGCTTGACACAATTAAAATAAACAATAACTCAAGTGTAGTTATTAATATTACACAACGGTTATCCGTGAATATGAATACACTATCATACTTGCCTCATGTACTTTGTTTACAAACGAGTTAAAAAAAATCGTATCTATTTTTTTTTATATATTATTATCAAGGAGTATTCCTTATCGAACATGGGGACACTCTCCCTCGAGGATTTGATAGACATCAAATAGGTGGACAACCCCTCCAACCCTCCGACTTAAGTTTTTTGCATTCACCTATAATAGTCGAGATTCAAATCTTGATCACTTGATTAAAGGACGTAAGTCCCTTACCACTTACACCAACCCAAATTGGCAAAATTGTATATGTTTCAGTTACTTATTTATTATTCACATATGATTTTATTCATGAATATATGTGAGTACTTTTGTCATCCCTATATATAAAATTGACAAAAATAATAACTTAAGTGGATCTATATCTATAAAGAAAACAAACACTTTTTTCTTTTGAGTATCTTGAACCATTTATATTTTCATATCTTGGACTATTATCATGGTTGTGCTTAAAATTCATGTTTATAAACTTCTCCATAAATATTTTTAAATAAAGAAAATATGAAAGATTTTTTTTTTATATATATAGACTAAATTTATCTTATACACAAGTTAGAAAACATATTTTGGAGAAATTAATATGTGGGGGGCAAGTAACCCCCTCTCTTTTAGTAACTCCCTCTCTTTTGATTCTTGAAAGAAAAAATACTATAATTAAATATACTATACCCCTTTCCGTCTTATATATGAGAAACAAATAACTAGTTTATAGAAATCAACAAAAGTAATTAAGATAGTTAATTTTCATTAATAATGTCATAACTTAAATTTCATTCTAAAAATACCTTTTAAATGGATTGGTTTCAATAATGACTATGTTAAATGACATTTTACTTAATTCAAAAGATATTTTTTTCATTAAGTGTAACTTTGTATTATTAATAGATCAATAAATGCATCCACATGCATCAGCGCTTACAATGAAATCAATAATTGATACATTTTAAAACAAATATTTGTTTCTTATAATTTTGGGCAAAAAAGTGTACCAATTTTTTTCTTATATACAGAATCGGAGAAAATAATAAATATATAATTATTTAGAAAATACGTAACTTTTTCTTTAACTTGTTTGAGATTGATTCTTCTTGTTTAAGTTACTATAATTGATAGATCACTTTTACCTATGTATATATAGTAAAAAATAAATTTAAGCGAACAAGATAAAAGACAAATTTTTAGTTCACTTAATTTTATATTGAGAGATTGTTTGAAAGTTGATATATATTGTTTATAAATTTTATGATTTGAAAATTATATTTTAAAGTTATATAAACGGTCTGATATATTTAAAAGTTATTTAATTTTATCATTAAAAAAAATTTGCCACCCTTTCTTTGAAGTGTTTTGTTCGTTCCTATTAATACCAGAAAGCTCATATAGATAAGTTATTTATAACTTTTAAATAAGTTTATTTAATTTATTTTTATTTTGTAAGTTCTTATTAAAAAAAATCAAACACACCCTAAATTTCCATTTAAAAAAAAATCAGATTTTCTTTTATGGCATGATCGTACACGATGTTGTTGGCTCTGTTAATAGCCTGATCCATTTCTGGGCCCAAATAACACCTGAGAGAGGCTCCCTTCAAATGGATCACTATTATTATTAGGTTCATGATATATACACTTCCTCTTTTTTTTTATAAGTATATCTCTTTTATTTTTTTAAAAAAATTATAAAATATTATAATTTTTTTTTTAATTTTACACTTTCAACTTTTAATTTATTACTTTTTTTTTTCACACACTTTTTTTTCCTTTCATTTGCACATGTTACCAAAATAGGTGGGGTGAAGGAAAGATAAGGGAGTACATGAAAAAATTTAAAAAAAAAAGAGAAAAGATGTGTGAAAAAAAGTACTAAATTAAATGTTGTGGATATAAAATTAAAAAATTAAAAACAAAAAATTAAGAATATTTTAAAATTTTAAATATTTTTTTTAAAAAAAAAGAGGTGTACTTATAAAAAAGAGAGGTGTATATATCATCAACCTTATTATTACCCTTTTTTTCACATTTTTTTTGTCTGATACGGGTAATTTCACACATTTTTGGAATTTGTTAATTTCACACTTCTCTGTTTTCACACATTCATTTTTGAATCTACGAAAATTCAAAGTTGTTGCCACATTGGAAAAGGGAATTCGCTTCGTTAAACTAAAACTGAATTATCCGATTTTGGTTATAAAGTCCTCACAAGTCTATATATCTATTTCCCATTTCAACTTTTTATTTTTATTACTATTTAATTATTTAAATTTCTCTAAAAGTTTTAAGAGTATTTTCTCATGAATACTTATATGTGCTTATTGTTCCGTAGAAACCCACAAGGATAAAAGGAAAAGTAAGAGGAAAATTTGAGCAAAAATGAAATTAAAAGGACCATATATGCTCCATAAAATATCATCTCCTTAGTCATCACAATAATGCATATCAATCCAAAACATAGAACCATTAATGGTATTTTAGATAAATTTTAATCACTGTAGGATTAATTTTATATTTTCTTTTTGATTATTCTCCTTTAATTAAGATTACGAGTTTTTTTGAGATCATGTCTTCCACAAAAAGCAGTCTTGTTCAAGCTAGATCACTCTTAATTATGATTATGGGTTTAGTTTAAGCATAAATAACCATCAGAGTTTTACCATCACAAATATCCCTTCGGTTATTTAGAACTAACACGATATGATTATGAAAAAGGGGAAAAGAATCTATAGTTGTTATCAAATAAGGATTCATTATAATTGTTTACTAGAGTAACTAATTGATTTATTTTATATGTTAAAATTACAAAACTGACAGCAAAGTTTAAACATAAAATTATGTAAATATTACATTAATCTTCATACCACTAAACCATCCTAAATTCCTAATAGTTGACTCTAACTAATGGATTAACATTCTCTAAAGTTGAATAACATAGTATGAACACTTTAAAGAGAACATAATTCACTTTTTTTATATTATAAGTGTCTCAAGATTGTTTGCAGCAAGCTTTTTTAATTACCATAATTAAATATTTTAAAATCTTTACAATTTTTTTTTTACTTGTAATTTTGATTAAAAGTTATTTTTGCTAGAAAAAACAAATTATAATCATAAGAAAATGATATTTACTTGTTAGTTTAGTTATATTTTGTTATTTGCTTTATCTAATATAAAGGATTAGTCAATTTTAATTTTTAAACAATTATTGTAAATATTTTTATGTGTGCAAAATTGAGTTCATAAACTCAAATATATCATATTTTTTTTTCCTTTTTTATATGAAGAGTTACATATTATAATCTCAACTTGTTATATGTTTTTCTTAGTCATACTTTCATATTCAATTTTCAACAAAGATTTAGCACGATATTAACATTGGGCAGTGACATTATTTTCAATGTGGACACGAACAATAGAGTCATCCAAAGATCCATCTTCATCATGCACCACCTTTTTACAAGAGCACTTCTCCTTTCGCCTTCTCTTTGGCCTGCATTTGTCTTCCACTTCTTTTTCATTAACAAAGGAAAGGAAAGATCGAAGACGTGCAGAGCGTGATGAGCCTTCAAGGTTAGTATTGGAGTGTCTGCTGAAACGGTAGGCCATTCTTGTAACATAGCAAAGGAGAGCAATGAAGCATGCTATGCCACTAAGTAGGAACAGTCCCCAAAAGCTTTTTAACTCAAGTCGGTCTATGCCTTGTTTGGCTCCCTCTGAGCTGCAAGCACTTCTTGTTAGCCATTTGTCGTGAATCCTCTGAAGGTCACCGTTTTCTGATAGTTTTAGGATGGCAGTTGACATGTCAATTGCTAGGGGAGAGTCCCTTGGGAAGCCCTGTATGCATGTTACATTCAAACACATGTTCACTGTTGCTGTCAAACAATATGATGATCATATGTAACACTGAATTTAAGACTTTTAAAATGGACCAATTTTGTAAGGATATCTTTGGATAATCTTCTCTAGAAACACTTTTAGAAGAAAAAGTAAAATAATCTTTTTAAGAAGTCAAAACTAATTTATGCATATGTTATAAGATAAATTTTGAGAAAAGCTACATGAGAGAGTTTTTTTAGAAATTAACTTATGCATAAATTATTTTTAGTTCATGGAGAATTTTTTTTCTTATTTTTTTTCTTCTAGAAGTGTTTATGAAGAAATTTATCCAAACATGTCTTAAGTGGATAGAGGTAGACAATCAGTGCATTGCAGCATTGTATGGGATTCACACGGGTTTTATGGATATGGTGTGTGGATCACACTAGGAAAGTAGCTCCCTGGTTGGCTTGACAATGTTGCATGGTGGTTTACATGATATGGATTTATATTAGGATATTTTATGAAATCCTTCCAATGGAGAAATATTCCAAGAGTGGTCAAGTTGAGATTATAAAATAGGTTTCATCATTTTATTGATTTCAGTGCAAGATCCACCTTCATTTCCACTAAAGAAATGAAACTTCTCTGCCTATGTCAAACTTTGTTTTGAAGATTTAGTGGGAGAATGAGCTATTGGAATTAGAAATATGAAGTAAACAAAGGAATATGAATGTGTTTGTTTATAAACAATACTTTTCAATTTTAGAAAAGGGTATTCTTAGAATTATTCAACCACCTTTCTTAATACTTTGAATGATGAATATGGCATTGAGTTTTGCAGAAGAGAAGTGAGTTTATATACTTACAAAACCCCATCCCATCTTGGTGAACTCTTGACCAACAATACCAAATTCACATCTGGTGGATAGGAAGAGCTCCATGTAGGCACGTTCATCTATTATTGCAGCAACACCGCCATTAGCTGGTCCATCTGACAAGGCCTTTTCATATTCTGATGCGCAGTTGAGAGGAACAAGCCTTGATCTGTGTATGTTGAGCTCCTCAGTCAGATAATTTTCAGCAAATGAACCCCTCAGGAAACCAATGCGCTCGTTGCTTATTACTAAGCTTTCAATTCCTTTAACTGAGGAAGAAAGCTGTTCCACGGTTAGGATGGAGGTCAAGCTTGCAATATAGCTTGAGTTCAGTATCAAAACCACAAACAACCATATGATTAGCACCAAGCGTCCAAGGGCGCTCACAGTTTTCTCTCCTGCATAGAAGGGGTTTTTCTCAAATGTAAGACTTAAATATACACCAACATTTTTCAGCTCAAACTCAACATATTGATGTGGTACTAAAGCATCTATGAACTAGTAACTAAAGCATCTACGAACTACTAATCATAAGTTTGATAGATACCTATTAATTATTTAGTTACATAGTTAGGTTGGTTGGTTGAAGAAATAAGACATGTTGCCTATATAAATAAGAGGTGATCATCTTGTCATTTATGAGAGAATTGAGACCACTAGGCATTGGTAGGTGTACACCCTGAAAATTCTGTTTGTCACTCACTGTAATCAGGGGAGAAGTTCCTTGTTCTTTCTAATAATAAAATACCTGGTTAAACCTCGTTTCTATTAGAACTGGATTTTTTTTTTCAGTCCATCTTTATAAGGTAATTAAAATGAGTTTTGGTTGTCCACTCATAAAGGAGGAAATGGAAATTTTGTTGGAAAATGTGTTGGATGTGAAATCATTCATGTGTTTCCGGGTAATAACTTAAACATTTTAGGTTCATTGATCTTTACAGTCTGTTAAAAATTTTCTGTTCTCAACATGAGGAAAGCAGATAGGATAACTAGACGCAAAATAGTTTCAACTACTTACTATGTGCAAAAAATAGGGTTGAAAAGCTAAACCTGCAGAAGCAAATGATTAAGATGTCAGCAATTGATAAAGTATGCTAGTGATCATATGAATCAATAAAAGAAGTTAATTAAGACCATATTTTAAATTGTTTTGCCACTCAATTACCAGATAATGGTGACAAATTGCCTTCTAGCTGGGCCTCTAAAGTCATCATTTATGCGACGCTCTAAAATCCACACCACAGCTCCCACAACTAAGAAAAACATTCCTGTCACAAACCACATCATTGGAGTGAATGGTGTGAGGAAAGCCCAAGCACTGGATTTCAACTTCTTGATAGGTGCCACAACAACTAGACCGGACTCAATATATGGCTGTGTAAAATCCACTATCTTGGTTCGGTTTGTAGTAATGGTAATGTCTCCCACCACAGCATCGAAGGTCTGTAGATAAAATAAGCAATTCCAATGAAACAATATAAAACAAAAACAAAGCTACATGGTAGAAAAAATGAAGATAGATTATGATAACTTAAATACTCACGCCATTTGTGATCATGTGAAGAAGGTCTGAATTTAAAGGGTTGGTTTTACCATCACCAAATGGAATAAACTTGAATGGAACCGGATAAGGCAACAAGTTTAGAGCAGCAGTAAACACATCTATGCAATAACCACCAAACATCTCAGTTCCCTCAACTTTTGACACAATCTCACGGTTACTAATTCTAAGAGGCACCCCAATTTTCAAGGGTCTTCCATTGCTTGCAAAAACCCAACCACGTGGGGTTTGGGTTGTTTGACCAGGCCATATGACACCATATAGACCACTAGAATTGGAGTGATTAGGACCTTCCCCAGTGTGGAGGCCAGAGGCTTCAGACCAATAACCAATCCTCCTAATTCCAGTGCCTATCACATTAATGATTTCATATGATGGATTAACCAAGTTTCCATCTGCACTAAACTCTATTTGGCCTGTTAAACCACTTCTGTTCACTTCTAAAATTTTTTTACGCAACCTGTCACCATCAGCAAACACCCCCATAGTATCCAAGTGAAAGGTGTCCCGTTTAATTAACATGTTTAGACTTGAATCATTTGAAAATGACACAGTTCCCCCACTCTTAAAAAATGCATCGAGTGCTGAAGCAAGCACCCAAACTGTGTCATAGGCGTAAAGGCCAAAGATATTAAAGCCAGAAGGGTCCTGATTAGGATCTTCCTTTTGGCTCAGTTTTTTCCACCTAGAAATAAATTTTTTTTTGATGTCTGAATCTGGTGTATGCATGCGCAAGGTGATAACACCTTGGATGTCATTCATGTCTGGAGAAGTGGGCAATGATGGATCGGAGTCTAGCACTGTAGAAAGCCAATCTGTGGCTATCCACACATAACCACTTCCCATCATGCCAAGTGACCTAGCTGCATGAAGTACTTTTAGGCCAAAAGAAGGGTATATGTGAAGGACTATTACCCTAGACTCCATTAAAGCTACCTTAACTAATGCACTGTTTATTTCTTCCGGGGTTATATTATCAGAAGGTTCAAAGGGTACTTTATATGATATTTTACAACGTTTCTCTGCTAGCTTATCCCCTAATGCAGCCACCCCATTTCTTCCATGATCATCATCAACGTAAATGGCTACGACATCTCTCCATCGAAAGTGATCAACAATTTCTGTCACAGCAGCCATCTGACACAGATCACTCTGTGTTGTCCTAACAAAATATGGGAACTGCAGTGAAGTCAGTGTTGGATCTGTTGCTGCAAATGAAAGTAGAGGCACTTGCATCTCATTTGCTATGTGTGAAATCACATGTGCCATGACTGAGTACTGAGGACCAATTATGGCCACAGTGTCACTTTCCATCAATAGAAATGCTGTAATAAAAAATAACAAGGAAGTGACTACGAAATATGGTTATGTGGGGAAATTAAACGAGTAAAATAAAGTGGAAAAGTGGCATGTGTTTGACAAGGACGTACAATCAATGATTCCTAGAAATCCAGTGGATAATTTGGTGTCCAACATTGAAATATTAAGCTTAGTTCCATTCAGAATCGTTGCATTGGAATTTATATCATCTACTGCAGCTTGTATGGCAACTTTCGCAACTCTTCCAATTGTAGAGTTGAAAGATAAAATTGCCCCAACGTTAACGGAACTTGGTCTCGTAGAAACATTGTTTGTTCCTTTTGAGGGCAAGCTACTGTAGAAGATCACAAGGACAAGAAGCCAAACTTTGCTCATGTTGTATTTTACTGCAAACTTGACAAGAGAAAGAAAAAAAAATCCAAGTAACATGTTAATTAATGTTATTGTACACAATACGAGATACACATGAAATATACTTGAGTGAAAATATGTGAGGTATGAAAAAAAATATATTTTACAACGTCAAAAAAACAGAAAGAAAAACAATATATGAAATATTGTTGCTGAGATATGTAAACAATACTAATTTGGACTATGCTAGCATATTTTTCCTTGAATGAAAATGGAGGAAGCTAAAGTGTCACCTTACACTTTCGCTGAAAGAGCTAGTTGTAGTTGTGATATGCGTTTTAGTGTTGGATTTCTTGTGCTCAAGTGAAGCATGGCTTGAATCCTTTTATAGCAAGTGGGTTAATAGGTCATGCATAATGTGTTCAGTGCTTTCAAAACTCCCTTGTCCTCAACACTGCAAGTACTTTTGAAAGACTGATATTGATAATTTTATTTTTATTTTTTTGTCATTTAATAAGTTAAGGGAATAGGAGAGAACACCGAATAATTGAATATATATGTATGAAGTTGTTAAATATATAACACAACACAGTTCTTTTTATTGCTGCATATAAACATAGTGCTGTTGTTTTTAAATGTGAATAGATGAATAATGATAGTGATGTTATTGTTACAAATGACGACATGCACGAATGAGGATTGAGGACTGAGGACGTAGAATGATGACATTTTAAAAAATATTAAAAAGTTAGAAAAATATAAGAAGTGTGATTCGTTGGAAATGTGTGCTTTTGACGAAATATAAGTCGCACTAATTAAAATTCTTCAAATAAAGTCTCAGGATCTAAATTTGTGTATTGTAGCCGAAAAGAAAGAGTTAATTAAAAGTGGCTAATTCGTTCCTTTTGGAAGATATTCATGAACTTGGTGAATATTTAATAGAGTAAAACTTCATTCTGATTAGGGGTATTCATTAGTTTCAACAATCGGATAGGATGGACGATTCGAAACAAACTAATTATATCAATTATTGAAAGATATTTAAAAATTGGTTTGACTTTTTTCTTGATTGAATTATTATTAACCAAATCAAATAAATTTAATTTTGATTTGAATCACTAATTTACATTTCATAAATTTGATAATCCAAAAACTATACTAATTAAAATTATTAGTATTAGTATAAAAAAAAAGACATTTCGTGTTAAAAATTAGTGAGTTATCATTTATTAGTGAATTATCATTCATTAAAAATTATATAATTATTATAATAAAAAAAGATAAAAATATTTTAAAATTTATATATACAAAAATGATAAATTTCCTTTATATATTATTATAAACTTTATTTTATTATTATGGTTATGATTATTACCTTTCGGCATGTTAAACTATGTTAATGAACTACTTTAATTTTACACTTTCAAACATTAATTTTTTATTTACCCCTTAAATGTTATTTATAATATTTTAATAATAAATTTATATTTAAATTTAAAGATAAAATAATTTATTTTCATATTTTAAAAAATAAAAATTTATCATT